CTGATCATCTACATTTGCCCTCTTATAGCACTAAACTATGTTTTCTACCTTTATCTTGCATCTACCTACCACTTCAGCATTTTATTAATAATAATAATAATAATAATGATAATAATAATAAGGGAGAAATGTGGGATTCACATATCAATCAAGTATAAAAATCAAACGAATAATCATAATTAACCTGATTGTTTATAGTTCATGATGAGTGATCAAAACCGAAAGTTTCTCTGATGACTGCCCTTGCACTGTTCACCATGTAAGAACTTATTCACTATGTAAGAATTTGTTCACCATGTAAGAACTTGTTCATTGTGCTTCAGAAGATCGGAGACTGATGAGAGTTGGGCTTGGGGTTGATTAATGATTGTGCATTGAGTCCCCTGTACAGAATTTTATTGTTGTTAACTGTTAACAACCATTTGATCAATAAATATGAGAGATGCCATCTCAAAAAAAAAAAGTGTCTTCCTTTTTAAATGTACTTTTTTTTAGATATGCATCTTTAGATAACTACAGATTATCAGAAATAGAAAATATAGGTTACATATTTCATCTTCAGAAGATGTGAAGAAATAACATAATAGTTTCACATTCATTAGTTAAGAAAAAAATGATTCCCAGGTTTATGACTTCATGTGTACATTGTCAGTGGGAATCATTTCCACTGCTTAACCTAGGTGGATGATAATTCATTCTGATTCTCAAATGATGAAAACTCCTTTCTGGGAGATGGGGCTAAATGGCCTTGACCTAGAAAGGTGATGTGATTTCCAGGAGACCACAAGTCCCTTCCTATCTCTGGTAGGAAAACAGGACGATTGGTCTAAGTGGAGGGAGAGAGATTTCGGAGTTGAATTGTTTACTTTAAAATTTCAATCTTTGGAGAAGTATACATTACTTGGATGTATCTGTCTGAAATTCATACAAAAAGTCTATACTTATTTGAATATATTTCTTTCTATTCTGAGAGTTTACTTTAATGGGTATATTAAAAAAAATTAGTAAATTCCATTCAGCAGAACCACAGCATGTAAGAGCATAAGTAAGGCCGGCATTTCCTGGAATGTGTAAACTGAGCCTTTGTACCCTGGCAGGACATGCTGGGCTTGCTCCCCTCTGAGAAGCGGCTCCCTTCCACCCCTTTCCTGGGTTGAATGGCCTCAGGCCCAGGCATAAAAGTTATTTTAAACCAGTTTCACCTCGATTTTTAGATTTATTCTCATTATCTTTTTCATACAGGCTCGTTCTCTCTTCTTTCCTTCAGCCTCCCTGAACTGCCATCATCAGTTAAGCTAGAGACTTTTCTTAGTAAGTTAAGAAAGAGAAACCTCCTTCTTTCTCCTTGGTCCATTGCTTCTCCCCTTCACCCTTTGTTCTATTTTGCTACCTCAGTCTCAGGAACGTTTTTATGTGTTCCAGCTTTTCCTCAGTTAACAAATAATTGAGTGCTCACCGTGTGCCTGAGACCATGCATGCTAGTAGCACGCCAGCGAATAAGACAGACACTTCCTACGCCTGTGGAGGTTACAGTCTAGCAGGAAAGATGAATTTTATTTTATTTCATTTTATTTTTTAATTATTTTGGCAGGAGTTTATTAAGCAGGGCAAAAGTATCAGGAAAGACATATTTTAAATTAATAATTGAAAAACAAAAACAAAAACATGAGTATTAAGGACCAGGAAGGGGAAGTCATAGTAGGATCCATTCTAAAGGGAGGGTTTTGTCTGGTCTGGAGGATGAGATCAGACTTGAGTGTTACTGGTGAAAACACTTCTGCAAAGAAGTGATGGTTCAGTGAAGCCCTGAAGGAAGGACAAGAGTGCTTGTCCGGGTAGGGGAGGCGGTTCAAGTCAAGGAGGGTCCAGCGGACAGGACAGGGGAGGAAGGCCCTGAGCGGGGAGGGGCATGGCCTAATCAAGGGGCTGAGAGCATGCCCTTTTCCTTTCCTGCAGTTGAGGGAGAGTCCGCCTCTGCTGTCCTCCAGTAACACAGGTCAGGGGACATCTTTTCCCTCGCAATATCACTTTTAATTGC